TTCCCGTTGTGGGCAACCTTCGCAAATAAATCTGACTATTTCTCAATTTATTAAACAGATAAAGCTCTAGTCTGCATGGAGTTTCATCGAAGCAAACAAGGATGTGTTCTGTAGGTGGCTCAGCAACTAAGCATGCGTCCATGATCTCCAACGGCGTTTGGTATTCACTCTAGATTTCGGACCCTGTTTTACAATTAAACTGTGGAAGTAATATGTTACATTTCTTTTGACACAATTCCAGATCTTGCTGCTTCCTGTGTGTGTGGAAACGACCCCAAGTCAAGACCCTCCCTTCAAATGCCTATTCTGAAGCTCCCACTCAAACAACCAATATGATATCAGAGATGCAGTTTAAACAATGCCTGATGCATAAGCCCCATACTTCGTCTCAACCACTGATTGCCTATCATGGTTTGCCAGCGACAGTCAACTCCCCAAGCAACTCAGTACCCTCGGCTTCGACTCTTCCCAATTCATCCATTCTAAGCCAACAGCAGCAACATCAGCAGCTATCATCGTTACAACCAGTTATGTGTTCACCGCATTCACCAGACCACGCTCTCCATCCAAGTATTAACAAAAACGCCTATGCCACTGGATCTAGTGTCAGTGGAGGTAGCGGAAACAATCCCTCCACCGCTGAAAGCTCCCTTCCGACCCAGTCTTCTGCTGTGACCGGATGGAACAATGTCAACAACAATGTTTTTGTTCTTAACGGCCTTACGCATACAACGAATGTGGAGCGGCCCAACCCTCCGGACAACATTGAAATAGGGGACCCGGCAACTCCAGATTTTGAAACCCGACGTGCAAACGTGGCGCTTCCACCGGCCTTGCTTGGTGTAGAAGGTGTGGTTCCACCAGTGCCCTCTCCACCCGTCAACTCTACCAGTCTGGCCCTCTTTCGCTCGGCCGCCTCGCAAAATGAGGCCTCTACTCTGGTGACACCTTATGCCCAGCTCCAACTTTCTCTTTCCTTCGATCAGTATGATACCCCGGAGCGTATCTTCACCGATGGCAACACCCCGACTGCCGGCTCAGGTAGCCTGGATGGGTTTAATGGACCTCGGAACCAGCTCAGTTCGAATCCTACAACCAACTCCTCTCTCCTCCACTCCTACTGCGAGCATGGAGGTACCGGTGACCTTCGTGTTTAAGCTTTTACTGTAGTGCTCTATGCTATCTTGCTATAACCCCGACTTCCTTTCATATAACACTTACGCTTGTGTACGCAGATCTTAGCATGAGGTATGTAAATAAATGAAAGTTAAAGAATTTTTATGGCAGACCAACTAAACTTTCTTAAAAACATACAAAATAAGGAGAGACATCGGAGAGTATTTGAAATTTTCTCCCTCAGTCTTCCCAAGTTTACCGTTTTAGACTGGGTAAACGTTAAGCTCTCCATTCTTTGTGCAAATGCGATACGTTTTTAATTCATCTCACAAGGAGAAATAAACTGCTGCCTGGTCCTGTCTCGCACTTCCACCACAGGTAGCAACTGCACTGTTCGAGCAACCAACATCTTGG